TTTTTTTTTAATTCAGATGTGCTGGATTGTCTGTAAGGAGCACAACACGGATGGACATTACGCTGTCATCTTTATCCGTGCTGGGCTGAGTGACATTACGCTGTCATCTTAAGTACAGAAAATGTTGGAGGGGAATGTCTACGTTACTACCAGATACAATAGGGTTGCAGAGCGGCAGACGGCGTAGAAACCAGCATTTTTGCTCCTCGTCAACTAGGTATAGTCCAGAAAACAGCACTCCTTTGACGTCTCCTGTATCTCCAGTGTCTGGAGGACACAAATATTTCATTGTATTGCCTCTCACAAGCCTTCTGCTTAGACGGTTGCTACGACCGTGAACCGCTGAGAACTGCCCACCGTTCCATTTTTCGGCGCTTCAGCTTGCGTCTCGCCTCATATGATGCCTTAATAGACACATAAGAATGCAAGGCTTTACCTGCGCCAGCAGAGGCCTCAAATATGCTCAGGCAGGTACGCCGAGACGTTCGAGAAAGTGAACCCAACGATGAGTGTTCTCGCTCTTCTTCGGTGATTTCGGCATAGGAAATCAAGAGGGGCTTGCGCTGCCTACTACAAGAAACATGTTCATCGCAAGAAGTATGTTTCATGGGCAATGCAGCTTCCAGTGGAAATGGTGGTTCATTCAATACATTGGATGTAGCAGGCACATTTCGGCCCGCCGGTAGCCCGATGCAGGCGAGATTTGATCCTCTTTACCCTGTTTACCTTTCGTATCTGTGTTACTAATGAATCCATGTTTAGAGGTATGAATGCGAGCCGAGCTGCGCCCTTTCAGAAGCCTGGCTGGCGGGATGCCTGTAGCCGGCACCTGAGAGCGCTCTCCCACCAGGCAGTTTTCCGGGTAGCTCCAGATGTTATTCTGGGTGTAAAATAGAATCAGGGCGGACGGTTTTAGGGACTTAAGGTGTATTTCAATTTGAAAAGTTGTGTACTTTGGATTTTTTAACCCGAACTGGTCGCCTTGCCTGCCCGGCGTCCCAGCGGCTGTGAGGCTTTCGGTTGCTGCCGTTACCGCGCCGGCCTCTGCTGGTTTGACCATCGTAAGACCAGGGCTGTCCTAAAACGTATTCTTCTTAATGGTGGGGCAAACGATTTTAAATGTGTTTAAAATCATACTTGTTTCAATGTATTTGGGTAGGTGGGCAGTCATGGGCTCTGCCAAAACACCATTGGTTTCGCTCATGGGAAGGAGATGCGGAGGCCGTGGTTCCACACTGAAGAGTAGAGCTTGTTTTTTTTAAGTCTGCCAGTTCGTGCAAAATTGTGCTCTCTTTCATAAAGCAGTCTCAGTTCCCTCCGACGTAGCAGATGTTGTTGGCGAAGGGCCACAAACGATCTCCTGCGCTAGAGCCTTCTCTGCTGCTCAATCTGGTCTGTCTGTGGTAACCTTTCGCTGGAACTGCAGTTTGAAACAACTACAATCAACTGAGGCGTTCAAACGACCAGCTAGGGTAGCGCACCCTAGGGGGTGTCCGGCCTTCCTGCTGTCTCTCTGCTTGTTTCTTCTGGGCATTGACGGCGCTTTCGTCCGTTGCAGTTGACGTGAGTCGAATTTCTTGGTATCATCTTCGTCTGGAGAATATGTTCAAGCTTGGCGGAAATGCTGAAACGGACCCCTCGGCATTCGCTGATCACCTGGCCGCTGCCGATGCTTGTGCTGAGGTGGAAGGCCGGCCAAAACCAACACGGACAGGCAGAGGGCTCCCTCTGCGAGAGCGCAAGGTGTATCGTAATCTAGCTAGATATACCCCGCGAGTGCAAGGACTGACCTTTGACCACAACCAGATCCGGTGGATCTCCTACTGGAAAAACGAACAGAACAAACAAGTGCAGAAACACTTCCCAGTTAGCAGATTTGGCTTCTTTGGCGCCCGACTCATGGCTTTAGAAGAGCGCAACCGGATTCAGGGATGGCCCCTATTCGCAGATGAAGCGTTTCATCTCATTGAGGGGTTGAAAGTATTTGTCAAGTCCAATCCGGAATATGCTGCAGCCCTTCTACAAGGGGGCGAACTAGATCCCGTCACCGGCGAGATCCACCTCAATGTATATGCAGAGCAGGTCTTAGAGTCCTGTTCAGTGACTCTGGAAGAACGCATTGCAGCTTCTTTGGCAACAGGTCTGCGGGCTTTACCACCGCAAGTAGACGCAGGCGGCCGAAACCAACGCAACAAACCAGCACCAGCAGCAGGTGTGACGACCCGCCAAACGGCACCTCTACCTGTCTCCCAGGAAGACGAAGACTGGTCCGTTAACCGCAAGGCTTCTGTAGGAGTGGCAACTCGCCGTCAGAGGGCAGCTCGTTTAAGGACAGCAGCTCGGCGGACCGGGGTCACGTCAAGCCCACCCGATAGACGTGCTGCTGCGCCTCCAGAATTGGTGAACTCCGCGGGGCAAGAAGAGATCAGCCTTCCGCTTCCTGCATTTCAGGCAAAGACCGTCGAGTCCCAACAGCCCCCAGAATCTGGCATAACTACCTATGCAGATATCCTTGCCCAGGCTTATGCCCTATCAATGGGAGGGCTCAAAGTAGACGCAACAACAGCCCATCAAGCACTGCCTATGGTGCAAAGCCAAGGAGAGCCTTGGCCATCACCGGCCCTTCACTGCAGAAACCAGGAAGTGCTGCCTGCCCTGCTGCCAGCCACCGCAGGAACGGTTTATCTCGAGGCAGGAGGGGCTGACTCTTCAGTTAACAACCGTCTTGTTTCCATGGCTTCCTCAAGCTATGAAGATCCCGAACCGCTGGCCGACTCCACCGGGTTAGGTGAACAGGAACCAGATGTGCTACGAGACCTCCTCAACTGCAACGTGTCCGAACCGACGGACATTGGCGTAGATTGGGAACTTGAGGGTTCAAATACTGCAACTATTGTTGACGTTAGCAGACCCACAAGAAACCCCATGTCCCGCCAGTCTCGCATATTTTAACACATCCAGCAAAAATAGTTTTTCTGTGGAATTTGATCATCCTTTAACTGTTCTCCGTTCCGTATTTTTTGCCTTTAGAGGGGGGGACTGCATCGTTATATAATCATTCGTTGATTCGTATTTGTAGATGATGCTAATATCCCGTATTGGTCTTAGGTCAGTCTGCTTTCGTAATGCAGCGGACTGCAGCATTTCTCTCCGTATAAATGCAGATGACGTAGCATGCGAAACTGCTTCTTCATCTGTCTGTTTGGCATGGACAGCTTGGCATAGCTCCGTAGCAAGCAAATCTATGTATTCTTTGTTCGAGTGGTCCCTTGCGAGTATGGAACGTAAAGTGTTCCTTGCTCCGAAGGCGCCAACAAAGCGCCAACCCACCCATTTCTACTGAACCCGATGTTCTACCTAATTTAAAGATTACGTTTTGCCGTGTACTACGGTTTAAATCCTGCCTATGTTTGTCGTGTATATGTATATTCGTCATTTATAGCTTACAGAACTATATGCTAAAGCAAACACCAAATGCCTCCAAAACCGAGAAACGAGTTTAACAGTTACTTAAAGTCATTAGAGCACAGCGAAACCCTTGCATGGCAGCGACCCCTGTCAATGAGCAGCGGCCGTGGATTTTGCTTCTTCTTTCCCTGCACTGTTTCCAGAAGGTTCTGTAAAACCTTCTGGTTGCTCCATATCAATGTCACCCCCTTCATCATCGCCGAGCCAAGCAGGCTGTACCTCCCAGCCACCCATTAGGCACCTAAACACAACACATGCCCGTCGTGCCTCTTTCAACGTTTTGTACTGGTTCAAAGGGAAACTCTTGGTCTTGAAGCGGCCATTTTCTCTCCACTGGCATCGCCAAAGTTTGCGTGCAACATCCAGATAAACTCCTGTAGGCGTAGAGGAATTGCCACCCCCACCGCCTCCCCGTCCGCCCGGAGGTGGCCGACTTCGTCCTCGTTTGTGGCGGGGTGCGCCTTCGTGTGCACCCGGGCTTTGTGGAGTGCCGCCGCCTTGAACTGATGCATCTGAAACAGAACCTGCATTGCTCGTTGCTCGACTGCAAACACTCACGCCGCGGCTTGACATACTCGAATCCACAGACATACTGCACCGAGAGAGCGAAAAATCCGATAAGCCACCAGCGCTCGGCTCCCGAGACGCCCAACCAGCCCCGTCATCAACAGTCCGAACCACCACGCGTCTACCACCAATCTTCACTGTCCCTGTCCGTTCTGCCAACGGCCCAAAGCCCCTTCCCCTGCGGAACCCCTCACAAAACACGGCAAGCCCTTATGTTTCTTTACGCTAGAGACGCCCTGAGTAGGGCATTTTTGTGCTCTTGTACGTGTTCTATTCCGTGCTTCTGCACCATAATCTGTTTAGCTGACCCACCGTGTGCTCGCTTGAATCGGCTTTCTCAAACCAAGTCCAGTCGTCGCTTGCGGGCGAGAAGGCGCAGGAGAGCTCCCGCGCGGCGAGCTGCCTGCACTCTGCGAAGAAAGTCTCCATGAGCGTCTCCTATGACGACTGTGGCGATCTTGCCTTCGCCCAAAAGCTCTCATAGGCTTCACTGCGGCACACAAGGAGAGATGAATCGGTCGCATGTTCTGCAACCTCGTTGTACCGGAGAAAGCAGCAACTCCTGCAACCTACCCGATGCACAAGCAAACGAGTAATACATGCACTAAGCGCAACACACGATATAATGTACTCCGTATCTACCGCCACGTCGCAGCACCACACGGAGACTGCGCATGATGAACTGCGCTCCTCAGAAATTACATACGTCTTATCTGGACGTCCGTGTAGTCCGTGTCGAAAGGCTCATGCGCATCCCGGTAGCAAACGGCACCCTTCAGCAATGGAAGTGCATAGAAGTCGTCCACAAGCAACTGGCCCTGTGTACTTTCCACAGCAGGAGCTGATGACGCGGCTAGGGAGCGAAGAAGCGGAGTTGTAGCATTCGCGTCCAACACAGGGGCGTTATCGCCATGATGAGCAGACTCAACTAGGGCCTCCGCTGCACGTCTTCGACTATCCTCCGCTACATCAGCACCTAATACTGGCGTCTGAATTACCGAAGCAGCATGATCCGCCGGCAAGCCGCTGCCTTGTTGAGCAGCTGTAACCCCTGCGACCCATACACAGTGGCAGAACAGGTTACTCAGTGAAACGAGACAGATGTTCTTTATGGATTTTACCTCCCAAATTGTTGTATCCCTTGCACATGAGTCTGTGAGTTTTGTCGCGTACTCTCCAATGCCCGTTCATCCGCCACGAAATCGATGGCCTTCAACTCTGATCCTTCAACTGGAGTTGTCGAGCCAAGCAGAGCTCTCAGGGCGCCTTGCAGCAACTCGAATCCATTAAGACTATCTATCTCATTGTCTGTGGGAGTGGATAAAACTGCTGAAACGAATGTCAACATGCCTTCAGTGTTGCTGGGCGATGCGGTTCCTTCATGGCCTTTTGGAGGCTTCGCCTTCCTTCCGGCCGGAGCGCAAGCAGAAAGCGTCGCTGCTTCGGAAGTTGGTAGGGTGCATTCCGAAGGCGCTCCATCAGTTCTCTCTCCATATACAACGCCGTGGCTTTGGGCCTTAGTAGCCTCTCCTGCTCGCTGCGCCCCAAATTCAACGGGCCAGCTTTCTATGCTGTCGACCAGCTCGGCGGCTGCATGAATCAGTTCGACTGACAGGTCTATGTCGTCGTCTCCAACAGCACTGCTCGCCTGGTCCGTCCCGCTATGCAGTCGCGAGCGGCTTTGGCTGTCAACTGCTTCAGTGAAGCGCGCCAGCATGGCCCCTGTTCCCGTGTCATTGGTCTGCCAAGAACAGTGCTCAGCGCTCGTGCTGGGTGGCGCGCCCACCACACTTCCGCAAGGTATGCGAAAAACGTGGGGTGATGCTGCAAGTGAGATGGTAGAATTCACAGATGACGAGCTGTCCGAAGCAGCGTCGTCGCCTCTCCTATCTCTTGAGTCTGACCTTGGTGCACCCTGTCCGGCTCCCGTCTTGACATAATCTTCCCACCACCAGGGCACCAGAGGCGTCACTCGTCTGCGTCCTGATGCCGTCTGCTGGTCTTCTGGTGTCAAACGTGCTCGTTGCATGCGACGAATCCTACGAGGAGAAGCATCCAGGGCATCACCCCCAAGCCCATCTCTTCCATGTCCAGGCCGTCCCAAGTCATCTCCTGTGCGCCCGAATTAAACAAGATTGCGCATTCTGCACCCTGCAGTGTGGGTGTATATCTAAAGTGCTCAATTCGCCTTGATCTGCTCCCAGGGGAAAAAAACACAGCATAAACTCAGTGGGCAGCTTACACAATTGTAGGGTGCGAACTCACTCTCTATGGTCCCGCCTCTACCAGCTCTCCCAGTACCGTCACTGTGAGCAGAAAGTCCACATTCTTCTGGTGGTCCAGATGAAAGATATCCGAACGCCCCGTCACTCCCCTGAACCTGCTGCGAATGGGCACTTCGCGGCACGGCAAAGCATCGACCTAAGCGCGGCCGGCTTGACTGCCGCGGGGGCGTACTGCAAGCAGAAGGCACTTGCGAAGACGCAATCGAAATAGGGTAGCTGTACTGCGGGCTACGAGCTCCTTCCTCTTCATCGTCAGGATTCGTCACAACATCGTGGAGTCCTCCTAACCGTAATGTATGAATGCTAGCGCCACCCAATATGCTGGAGCAGTCCTGTCTGGCCATTCCGTCAGCAAATGCCTGCAATTCGTCGGCTGAAATGTTGCTTTTATGCGGCTGTTTTCCCCGTTCTGGTTCGCCGCCGTCAGCTAAGATTCCCGGTTCCGTTACCCCTAAGTTGGATGCCGGTGTCTCCCACAGTGCTGTTGAGAGCATGGAAAGCCTAGCAACGCTGCTGTCGAGATTGTTGCTGCCAATCAGAGTGCCCGTACTGTCCGTTTGCAGGCGCTGTTTCCTGCGGTGCCAGCAAGCTTGGGCCCAGTCCCGTGTTGCCCAACTGCAACTGGATCCATTCAACTCATCATCATCTCCTTCTTTCGCTTGACAGAAAGCATCTTGAAAGCCAGCTCCAGAAGCAGGGATAAGTCGTATCTGTTCGAGGCGTTGCATCAGGAGCTCAACGCCCAGCGGCGACAGTGTCACGTAGCGCCTCAGTCTCATCAGCATCTGTGCAAGAGCGCTGCGCAGCCCTGGTTTCGTCAGCGAAAGCGGCTGGTATAGTTCATGAAGGATCAAGTGAAGCTGCATGCGGCACCCCAAAGGACACCTACGACACCACTCCCACCGACCCTTGCGACTCCTCAAAGTTGCGACTGTGCGGTTCCGTCCTGTCCCATGGCTACTACTTCCCACTGACTCCTCTCCAGAAGAATCTGCGCACATGAGACAGGTCAGACTTCTCCTAAGATTCCATATGCATTCACGGCAAGTGCAAGACAAGCAAACATCCATAAGCTCTCTTGAACTACTCCGTCTGTCTGCTCACCTGAACGAGAACGTGCCGCCGCTGTTTTATCTATCGCGAGTTCGAAGGCCATGAGATGCTGCCGCCAAGCCAGTCGTACACGGCATGGCTGGCCAACACATATGCTACAGGAACACCCACAGCCTTCACAAGCCTTGCCTGCATATGACGGGGCATGTCGGGTTTCGACAAGGCTCTGTAGAGCGCTCACTAGGCAGTCGGCATACTCGCCAAATGCCGATGCATATTCCGCTGCACAAATCAACAAAACATGGCCCCGCCGCACATACCTATATCAGCATACTGGCTCAGAAAACTGCCTCAAAATCGCGGACACCAATCAACCCCCATCTCTTCTCCTCTAGTTTGGCTCCAACACATAGGGCCCCATACTCTCCTGCATAGACCATTTTCTGTGAATTTCATGTGGGGGAAGAAGGAGGAACTCCTGATGTGCACTGACCCAGAGGTTTCATACAAGGAGGTTTCCGAAAGGTTTCATACAGGAAGGATAAAAGGACAATATGTGTTCTAGAGAATGTCGCTGGAAAATACGATAAAGGAAAGGAGGACGCAGTATGTAAGGCACGCTATTTGGCGGTGCCAAACAACTTACCCAAAGTGAGGCTTCGAATTTGTTGCTCCGTCAGGGGCTCGTTGGCTACGTTCACATACCACTTCTCCAGCGCCTGAAGTCCTTCGGCTTCAACGCATTCCTTCCCCCTCGAAAACTCTCCCCCGGAACTCTCAGCAGTGTACGACTTTGAGGCGTTCTCCGTAGACTTCGAGCGCTTTCTCTTGACAACGGCCTCATCTGCCGCGTCAACTTCAGTTTTACCGACCACTGCTGAGCAACGCCGCAAGCGCCCATCCCTGCCTCGAGCAACTGCCCACGCTGCAAGTATCGGGCCTCGTTCATCGATGAGGCAGTAAAGTCCTGGGTCACAAAACGGTTCCTTTGGGGTAAGCCAGGACCCTATAGCAACTGTTGTGTCCTGCGATGAATGACCTCGAGGTCTGATGCTTTTGTACTTTTTCAAATCCTCCTCTGACAAAACAACCATTGTTGAGTATGCACTACGGCGAGGGAACAAATGCACCAGGGCCTTCCAGTAGCGGCGTGTCCGTATGGCACACCGCCTGGCGTGGAGGGTCACCCTCAGACAGTGCAGCCATAGCTTCCCAGGAGGAATGCCAGGGCAAAGAACAGTAAGAGGAAGAGGCTCGCCGTGAACCTGTATCACTTTGCCCCCAGTCGACCCATGTGGAATGTTTCGAGCTCCCCAAGGTGTCGGGGTTGATGCAGACAATCCGCTCGCTTCAGAATATGTCTGGCATCCACTCAGGCTCCCGTTGTCATTAGCACATTGCATGGTTTTGTCACTAAAGCTCTCGTCGGTACTGCCTTCCTTGGGATCCCTCCTGCTGGACCGAAGGGCGCCGAGCGTGCAGCTCAACAACGCGCGGGCATTGAGCAACCCAGCATTTCGGAGTAGGCGCCTTCTATCTGCTGAGCCCTGCCCACGAGGCTCCCCCCTTTTCTGCTGGCTCTGGGCATGGGATTCCTCTAAGTGAAGATGTTCTAATTCGGGGTCTGCCTCCTGGAGTTGCTCTCCCGAAGGCTTTCCCTCACGCTTCGCACCCAAGCCTGCGACGCCATCGCCCACGCAAAGGGGCACCGAATGCTGCAGCCCACCCCCGTTGTTAGGCGATTTACTGCAGTGATGACGCCACCCTGGCCTCACCGCACGCGCATCAGACGTATGGGCCGTTGTCGTGTGATCCGTTCGCTGTTGTGTCTGTAGGTATTGCTGCTGCCGGGCCTCATGTAGATCGGAAAAGAGTTGAGCGAGGCTGTGTGGCGCAACATTGCGTTCCTGTGACCTTTGAAGAAGCAGCCGTTGCTGCTGTTGCAACTGCTCCCTTTGACGGAGCAACTGACTCTGGTGTTCCAGAAGTGTCATCTGCATCTGTTGAATCCGCTGAGACTTGACATTTGTCGCGCCTTGTACCTCCGACCTTACTGGTGAAAAGGCCTGCGAGTCCATGGACGCCACATCAGCGAGTGGCCCGCCGCTGTCCAAAGAAGTGTGCCCTAAAGGGATTTTATCCCTAGCGTTGCATCTGACTGCTGCTGGCGAATTCTGCGGATTTTCAAGAGGAGTACGCGGCTTAGAAGGCGCCGCTTCTAAGGAGGTAGGAGCATCATCTTGCTGAGGAACTTGGTTCAGCAGAAGAAGCTGCTGACTAAGCAAAGAAAACTGCTCTTCCGGCGTGTAATCCGCCATCCCTAAAAGGCCTTGACATGTGCAGCCCACATTTACTTTCAGGGCAGGTGTGCCCTTAGCGCAGTAAACAATTTAATGAAGTGGCTAGGTGGTGCTTCACGCAGCCGCATGTGACGGCGCGAGCCGGTCACATTTAGGTCGACGGCACAGCAGCGGGTGGCGAACCTACTGGGCTTGGAATGCCAGCATTCACCCCCCAACCAGTCTATGCCAAGAACTGTGTGGTCAGATGCCCTGGCCGAACTGTCAAGCGCAGATTCCCCCTCTCCTCCTTCACTGTGGCTTCCTAACGCCGAGCGTCTGCAAATGGGGGAACACAGAGAGCGAAGCACCCTGAAGAATGCAACGAAGAAGAAGAAGCCTGCAGTTGGTGCTGCTAAATCCACACCAGTAAAGTTAAACTCCCCTGGGTGGCTGGTGGCCTACGGGTCGAGTCACTGATTGCAAAGAACGACTCGATTGTCGCCACCCTATAGCTGACGCCGAGCAAGTTCCAAGAACACACTCCTTTAGTTGAGTTTCCCATCAACGGAATAAAGGCGAAACTAGGGCCAAATTAGCACAGATCCGCAATTCCACGCGTTCACAAGACTGCCTGACGCAGTAACCAGCAGGTGAACCAAGGCGATACGTCACCGAGGAATATGCAGGAGAGGCTTCTCAGTAAATCTCCTATTTTCCACGATTTTTAGTTTACAAATATCTACGGAAAACAACCTAATGCCTGTGGATGTGCAGAAGTCTTTCCTTTGGCTTGCATCGCAGCATTGCATGAGAGCACTCCCGGAAGCTACCACCGTACCGTTACAGGTGAGCACCAGTTTCAAGCTTCACAGTTCCCTAGACGTTCACCCAAATTATTTGAGTTGTTACTGCGAGAATATCTGCAATGAATTTATGTTGCTTCCAGACGTTGCGTCATTTCTACGCGGGGGAAGTAACAGAATGGAGATAGAAGCGGCCAGGCAACGGACAAAGAACGGAGAAACCCCACAACAGCATTGCTTTTGTTAATTGTTCCGTTGATATTCCATTACCATCGAGCTAGAAAGGCATCAGGAGGTGAATACATGGTAATATCTTGGTGCAGGACACTGGTCCGACCGGTGCAACACCAGCAGTGCTCGATAAGGATCTTGCAATTTGAAGGAGCTCCAACTGCAAATATTCATCATGAACCCTTGGTTTTTGTTCCATAATTTTTGAAAACAGTAGCGACCAGAACAGGGTGCTGTGCATGCTTCTGCTGAGGCTTCTTCGATCTGCACTGCGCTGCGCGTTGCCTCACTTCTAGCAGCGCTTGGCGCCGTAGTACCTAGCATAAGTGAGATCCTGCATAGGATTGCTGCGTTTTATAGACGATTTATCTTTCTAGATACACATGGGATCTTAGAGCGCTTATGAAAGTGAACGTCTAGCACGAGCATGGTGCATAGGGCCCACGGGAAACTTGCTTCTTCCCCTTTTTAGTAGGGGTGTAACGAGATACGTAGTCTTACAATGTGCACTGGAGAGTGGCATTTGAAGTTCTCCGTGGGAATACGGAATGTGAATGCCTCCCTGTAAGACCCTGTAGCCTCCAATATTTTTCGTGGTATTGGGTGGTGTCGTTACTNTTCATGCCTGCTGTTGCTAGGAAACTAGAGGCAGAGCGCAACTAGAGAGCACGAAAGGTAGCACAACTCGGAATTCTTTATGAACCGGGGGGAGGAGTAGACGGCGACACAGGTGAGGGACTCGCGCTGCCCCCTGGTACTTCTGCTTCAAGCAATGCATACTGCTGTACTAACTTGTTGTGGATATAACTACTGCATTTTCTGCGTAGGCATATCGTTTTTGAAGTACTCCAGTCATCAGCAGTACTTTGTTAGCAGCACGAAGCGCACAACATTGCAGCCAAGCTAAGGGCCAGCCGCGCCGAATGCAATTCAAGCGCATCCCCGTTACGCTTCGCCTGTGCCAATGGGGTAGACTTAGTAGACTTTGTGAAGAGGGGTTGCATTCCATCTGGGTCTTTACTGGCCGGAAACAGCCAAGCTAAATATAAGAAACATCTTTCAATCCAGTAACTCAAGGAGGGCCTCCACTGCACGGCATCGTGTGTTTTTAAGCCTATCAAAGAAATTCAAGATAGGGGGCGCCTACAGAGCTTGGAATACGTTTACAAGCGATATCGCGTTTGACACCTGTGCATTCAGTGACTAAATCGGCTGCCCTCTAAGAGAGGCAAATGGGATGGAGCAAAGACCGATGTCGTTGAACCAGGCGTTAGTGAGACGGCTTTTGGAAATCAAGAGCAAGTATAGCAGATCAACGGTCAACGCTTAGCTTAAAACTAATTGCGCCCCGGCTCAGAAAGTTGTCTCACTAGCGTCTACTCGCAGGAGAAGTTCGTACTCCTTCACAAGCCAACGAAATGTGAAACTTTCTGGCGGCCGTATGCTTTAGGCTCGCATCAAACGCATTGCTAGCGCTGCTGACAGAAGCGACAAGATGCCTCCCAACATTCTGTCGCTTGGTGACTGTGACCCTAAAGCTACTTCTGAGGCCGTGGGTGACGGCCAAGTGCTTTGGCTCAATGTAGATTGAAGGGCGGTGGTTCATAACCAGAGATTTCAAGGAGGTTAAGCTAGATATTCACAAAGCACTGAGTGGGTTTCGAGAAAGACGAAGACTTTTGTGAGATGCAGGGGAGTGGCAAGCCAAATCAATGCCTGAGCCTATCCTTCAGCTTTTTCGGCCGGGTAGTCACTAAACGCCTCCACCGTCTGCTCATCCGCGGTGGGGTAAGAAGAAGATGTATTCTTTCAACCACTGTAATTCCGATTTTTGAGACATTAATGCCGCCGCTGCCTTGCAGTGACGGGCTGAGCTGAGGGTGCTACCCGCCGGGAAAGGCTTGTGCCCAACCCAGGTCTCTGAATTAGCAACATCCCGAGCGCTGGTTCCCCTAAGCCGCCTTGTATGTGCCATAGACGAACTAGGTGTGGTGACGGGAGCAATGCGAGCTCTGAAGCTTGAAGGGATAGATATCTGTATAGTTGGAACTGGCTTATCGAGTTGAGAGTGATCAAGTAAGCCAACGATGTCGCCGTTAGAGGGCAGTGGCTCCAACACAATTTTTAGGTCATTGTCTAGCAAACCTGAGGTGCCCATGGAAGCGTATGAGGCATGTGCTCTCTCCTCGGGCCCTGCGAACCCAGCGTTCTTGGAAACATCTCGAGAAGGCCTTGCCAATTCCTCTGGTAGTTGGGAACGAGCGGACGGGAGCTGAGGTGGAGGGGATGCACGTCTTTTCAAAGTCCGGATCTCTTTTACACGAATGTATTCCTGAAGTTCGCGCTCAATGTCCACAACTTCTTCTATATCTGCGGCTCCTATCAAAAGGGCCAAGCGAGCAAGGAATCTGCTAAAGCCCTGATTTTGTGCTTCGAATTCTAGGGAGTAAACGCCTTTGCAGCGCACGCGCCACGCATGCGACATGAAGTGTTTAGCGCAGTTGTTGCAATGCTTCTTCGTATTATGCAATTCAGACCTTGAGCTTTCTGGTAGTTCTAGGCTACTGGCTTGACTTTGAGGTGCAGCTGCACTCCGCTTTGTGTGATTTGTCCCGGAAATTTGCACGTCATCCGTCTGTGGTTCGCTTTTAATAGCACTACCGTCCGAACTTCGGTGAAGAATTGCCTTTTCCCCTGACGAATGTTGTATTCCGTTTGGATCTTGCTGGTTGCTTGCAGCGCTTCCGGTTATGGAAGCCTCTGCTTCAGTCAGAGCGTTTGCCGCAGCCGCAGTCTTTTGGGGATGCCCGTAAAGGCGGTGACACTCGCTGCCGCAGAACGCCAGCAAGAGGCAAACGTCGTTACCCCATAAAGACGTTTCATTTTGTGGGTGCCTCATGTACCGGGTGAGAAACCCATAGCTCTGCAGCGCGAAGCAAGCTTGCCGTTGCTTATTTTGCCCGATTTGTTGTGATGTGGATGTTCCAGGAAAAATGATTCCGCAGTGCCCAGCAGAAGAA